AAGTAATAATATATTCATTCTTCTAAAGCTTCAAAAATTTATCTCTTGAGGTCATGATATAATCGCTCTTCTAGAGGTTTTTGTTAAATTGATATTATTAAATATAGTATTAACATGAAATAAATAAATAAATAGTAAAATAAATTTATCACTCTCTATGCAATAAAAATTAGAAGAAAATATAAAACATCTTATTTATGAATAGAAAAACTAACAAGTTATTAATTTCAACTCGTCACCATTTTGATATATAAAATTGGTCTCTATATTTTACTCTTTTTTTTTCAACGAGGCTTCATAAGGCTCAATGAGGTGCTTTGGTGTACGACATGTACGCAATTAATATCTATTCATGCCATATCTATAACATTCATTTTCGAAATACCGACTTGATCCATTTTTATTCCTTCATATTTTTTTTAATAGTTTATCTATTTTTGGTGGTGAGATATATTATTATAGTCATCATGATTATAATGATAATTTTTTCGACCACATCCATGGCTATGATCACGTCTTCATTCGTGTCTAAAATTATTATAAGTTGTTACATTCATTTCGGAAAATGGAGTAGATTTAGTTGATCGAGATTTATTCTTTTTCATCAATAGTTTTTCATTTTATTTAGCTATGAACAAGTATGAAATCGATTCAAAATATCTCTTAAACTCTTTTTCTCGATATGCTACCACATGAGCATATTCGAGACATGAAAAATAGATGATATTAACTCAGCATCAAGCACTCATGATCAATAATTCTTATCCAAATTGTCAAAGGCCACAAAATCAAGTTCTATGATGGTTGATATCATAAAAATTTTATATTGCAAAGTATAATAATATTAGGAAATAAAGACAAAATATAGTAATAAAATTTAAGTAAAAACAAACATAATAATAAAATTTAAACTTTTCAAATAATATATATTAGATTATTAGATTCTATATATTAAATCATTTAAGTTTTTCAAATGTATATTCTATGTATTATTAGATTTAAAGTACATGATAAATTAAATATATACCTCTTAATGATCTAAATAATTTAGATATTTTGGTAGGACACTTATATAGAAGAAATCCAATAGTTGAAACAATTGATTAAGTCTTTTGGTAGATACATACCTCATGGTCTATTGTCATGATTGGTTAGAACATCGTGTTGATAACGTGTTATGAAAGAAATGGTAATAATAGTAAAATAGAAGAGAAAGATGATAGAAAAATGAATTCACTATAAGATAAAGTGAATACAAGAGATAACAACTCTAAAATAATCTCTCAATCTCTACAAAATACTTGTGTATAAACTAATGAACAATCAAGCCTATTTATAGGTTTCAAGATTGAGAAAAGAATTTGAAAGGATTATGAACCATTAAAAGATGCATAAATAATTGAATAAATTGCATTATCCTTTCAATTTCTCATATTGAATAATGAATTGACTCATATGAATAGTAGAGTATGTGAAATGAACATTCATTATTTCATAATCAATTTTTTCGATCATGAAATTTTTTTGATCAAAATGCATATATTTGGAAAAAAAAATTTATTTAAAGTCACATGATGTGCATACTCCATTTTTTAAGTCTTTAATTTTTATTTTTTTTTAATTTCAACCGGTAGCATTTCAATAAAAAAAAATTTACTTATAATAAAAAAAATTGGTCAGAATTACATATAGAAAAGTTAAACATCATTCAAAAACATACTAAATGTAACTAAAAAAATATAGATTCAACTGTCTACCATTTCGTTTATTTTGAAGTATTTCTTTTAATTTTTTCTTAACTTAAGTTACAAATTATGAAAGATTGATTTGGATTTTGATTAATACCAGTGAGTCAGGTTATGTTGATTTTTATGATTGCGGCTTGCAAAACATACGGAAAATTCAACTAAAATTAGACTTATGTTTAGTTGACCAATTAAGGCTATATTTTTATTACAATAAAAAAAATCTTTATTTTATGATTGTAAAAAAAGTTATTATTATTATTATTAGCAGTAGTAGTACACTTTCAAATGTCAAAAAGGTTATAATCACCTAAGAAGTTGCATCAACAAATGGGAAACCCATGAAAACTAACGAGTATTGCAGGCCCAAATAAGATAAAACAACCATTTGAGGCCGAACCAGCTATCGAGCTTTTGTCAGTCTCTTGAACTTGGTCGCTTTGCTTGGATAATGTACTTTTTTTTTTTTTACCTCTCATAGCTACCATCTCATATCCCACATCAACAAGCATGTGACGGCACCAAAAACGATGCCTTGACTGGCGAGAAAAATAAGTCGTGACAAGCTCATGCTGCAAAAAGGAATGAAAGTATAGGCAAAGTTTGAAATGAACTGAGCATCAGGCCTCCCCATATCCCACTTGGTTATAATTTGTTTTGGGAACCAATCCGTCTGGTCTGCATTTTTAACTCTGAAAGATCCGAGAGTTGAGCAGGTCCTACCTACAAAGACTGGATATCTCTATACTTGGCGCTGAGAAATTGTGAAGTGGGAATTTGACTCAATAATAGAACATCTAATACTTTTATAGTCCATTTGAACCTTCCAACATTATCCAGCACGAAAGTAATTATCCCCTGGTACAATCACATCAGTGTAGAAGCTAGTTACAGCCATCCTAAACGGCATGGGATCAAACCCCTCTCGCACCAGAATGAGATGAGAACAAGAAAGCGCTAACCTTGCTGAGTTACTGCTGTGTAGTCCGAGGCTCAGTGAGCTTCCTAATGAATTAAAAGAAAAGCAAAATCATATTCACTGGTTTTAAGAAATACAGTGAAAACAAAAGGTCACCATTTATGCTTTTGCATTGACTCAACTGACAAAGGACGCTGGCATGTGAAACTGTGAAATTACAATTGCCAAGTTGTTATATGATAACAGTATAAATGCAAGCATACATCTGTTTCCCAGAGAAACAGAACCATACTAGGGGAAGGGGTAAAAAAGAATAGAGTTGTTACAAGCACATGAAAGCTGGTGAAGGGCAGGCACGACATCATCCCTACAAATACAAAAAGTAGGAGGAGATCAAATCCAACAAAGAAGTGCTTATCAATCATAAGGTGGTAATGGTTCTGATACATGGACATGGAAAAAGACCAAAGGCGATTCAATGGTGTCATTAGTTACAGGACTGGCTTGGCCGAATCATATAGATCGTAACTCAACAAAGATTTATGTTCTAGCGCCACATCCAAAGATAATATCATGTAGTGATTGATTTCTTACATCAACCCATGTTAAATCGTTAAAGAAAATTTTTGGACCACCCAGTCCTCCCCGTTCAGGTATCTTCCGACTTTACACAAATGCATCCAATCGTTTTTCCGTCATTATTCTGTTGCAATTTTTTTTTCACAAAAAAAAAAAAAAAAAAAAAAACTGAAAATTCATTGAGAAAAAGAAGCATCAGCATCCAAAAGTTCCTCTAATCCTTTGAGGATGACCTGCAAACCAAATTTGCAGTGCACAAGAAAAATCTCTCAGCCTTTGCGATCAATCAGCAATGCTACTAGCAGATCTATTATATGCAAAATCCTACAACTTAATATAGAGCATAAGACATCCAAATTCAGTTACAAAGGAAGCAATTTCCCAAGGTATTATCTGACATTGCAGGGCATGCAAATAGTTTTGCCAGGTACCCATCTCGGTATCTTGCCCTGCTAATGTCACTAACAGAAGGCTGTTGACCATGGTTTTACGGAGAAAAAACCCATAGAGCATGAAAATAAAAGAGCAGTGATCAGGTTAAATGGAAAATGCTATAAGTTTCTTTTTTCAATTGTTTATTTTTAAACCAGAATAGTTATAAGCAACAACATCATGGCAAATCCTAATTTGCTGATTTATAGCTATAGAGCTCTGAAATTATAAATCTGCTGGAGACCAGAAATATGCTAAATTATGCAGGGAAGGGGGATTAAGTGAACAAAAGATAAGGAAGAAAATAGTGAAAAAACAATACAAAAGTAATTTCTGCAACAAAATTAAATAGTAGAAAAGGAACCAAAGGTACTAATGATGTAAATGTAAATAGAATTCACATCTAATTTGCTGCAATTAAAAATTTTGTACAAGAATGTGGAAAATACAGAATATAAACAATAGTCTTTTTTTCTGGACAAAGAAATACAAATAGTCTGGACTATGTTATAAAATATGTGGGAAATTCACCAGGTAGACAGTTTGAAACCAAGCAGAAAACCAGAAACAATGAATTGTTAGAAGAAGGGGGAGAGGGGGGACCTATATCCCTGTTCTACAATGTTCTCCAGCTTAGATGCTAAACAAGTTCCAGGGGAATGTTTGTAATAATGCACTCAGTATATCAGATATTGTGCATGTAATCGACTGGACAGGCTGGATACCCAGCCTACGATTCAATGCTCTATGATGCTCTCCAACTTAAACGCCAAACAAGTTCTGGGGTGATATTTGTAATGATGCACTCCTATCACACATCTATCATATTTCATGCCCCATCCATTGACATCTAAGGCTGGACAGGCTGGATATCCAGCCTGAGAATGCGCGAGCACAAAAGAGAGAGAGATGGACTATTATATATGCTTCAGCTTATCTAGTATTCAGATGACCCAAAGAAGAAGAGGTGAATTCTTAGAGCTAAGAATCTGATACAGAAAGACACCAAATTTGTCTCAAAAGTTGAAAACAATTGACAGACCTATAGATTCTGCTATCACAATCAAATTCATTATCATTATCTTAGCTAGCTAATGACATCAAAATACAGTTCAAATCACATGCTACACCAAGTAAAGCCACTTGCATTTCTTGTGATGAATTCTCATAAAACCACACAAAAGATTACATTATAAAGTACACAAGAAACTCTTGGAATCTCCCATACTAAATAAAGCACAGCAAATGCAACAAAATCAAATTAAAGAGAAAAATGTCAATAATAAGCAGGACAGGAATTCACCTTTCAATTGTTCTTGGTCTAATTAAGTATCATCATTCGATTCATCCGAATCTGAATCACTTGCATTATAACCTGACAAAGAATCATAAATAAAGCAAGCAAAATAAGTAATGAAACTAATAGCGAGACTAGTATTTAAAAAAATATATATAAAACAAATTAGAACTAAACCTGGTTGCTTATCAGAAACTTTCCAAACCCAAGACCGAGTCCTTGATGCCCTTGTCATCCAAATTCTTCCCTACAATCCCAACAAACATACACCAAACAACCATTCTCTCAAATTCATCATCAACTACACATAATACAGAAGCCCAACATCCCCAATTAATCAAATCATAAAACAAACACAACACCAAACCATAAAAACATAAAACAAAAAAAGCATACCTTTTGTCCATCTTTAGGGACACCATAACCACTATAATACATTTGACCAACCAAAACTTGCATATTGATATCTCCTGCTTTGGCTTCTTTGAGCGTGTCTTTAAACCACCTCTTGATGCAATCAGACACAACCACTGATAAAGGCAAACGTGAGCTGTTGCTGTTACCACTACTGTTGTTGCTGCTGCTGCTCTTGTCTAAATCAGAACTGGTCTCCATCTTCGTTAACTGTTGAATTATTGATGTGGGTTTTGCTTGTTTTGTGGGTTTTAGATGTTTTTTTGAGTGATGATTAACCAGCTGCTTGGATATATTAGAAAGCGATTTTCCCATAAAAGAATTGAAGACCCCAAGATTGAATCTTTATAGATATCACATCCCAAAGCAAAACGTGAAAAGAACGAGCTTTTGTGCCCTATTGGGCCTAAAAAAACTAATCTTCTTTATTTGCGATTTGTTTTTAGGCCGTTTCTGTGCGCTGTAAAGAGGGATGATTGAGAATTAAGGAGGGTTTACAAAAGAAAGAAAGACAGCAAAAGAGGCTAGTTAATACAGGAAGGAAAAGGAGTCCTGAAGGGTACAAGAAAGAGGAAAACGGTGGCGTATAAATTTAACGTTTGTGTTATTTAAAGAACGAATCGATGGTCCCCGCGTTGCCAGAATCGAAATTTGAATTCTTTATGATTATGATTAGAATTTTAAATGTTAAATTGATTATATTTAAAATATTAAATTATATATATTTTTCAAAAAAAATAATATTAAATGTTAGGTCTTAAAATATTTTTATCTAATTAAAATCTGTTGTGTCAATTTTTTATGTTCTTCAAGAATTGTTTTTAAATTTTTCTTTTCATATATTGAAATATACAAATTAAAAAAACAAATACTCATATCTTTATTTAATTAAATTTTAAAATATTTTTTTAAAAAACGTGTAAGAAGCTACTGTAGCATCCAAATCTATATATATATATATATATATAACCTAAATCAATTATTTAAAATCTTTAATGTTTCTAATGTAAGAAGTGAAAATTTAGAATTAAAACATACAAATAAAAATAAGAATAAGAATAAGAACTTATAAATTCTTAATATATATCAAAATAACTACCATTTTCTCATTATCATCATTGTTGTTACCATCAACACTTGTAATCGATGTAATCATTATTTTTTCTATAATTATTGTCACAACTAACTAATTATTGTTAATTTGTTTCATTTTTATTATTATTACGTGAATATCACTAAAACATTGATTAAAATTAAATTTGTTATCGTTGTCAATAACATATTTCATATTTAATAATTTATTTTCATATTTTTACCAATGAAAGACTTAAGAAAAATACTATAAGAATATATATATAAAAAAATCAATCTGATTTATGTATTATGATAAATTTCATTAACTTAAAAGATCTTAAATTTGATAATAACTTGTCAAAAAACCATTTTAATAAAAAAAACTCAAGCTCGTTAGAATATGATTTATATTGTTATTTATTACATTTTTTCAACTCAAAATTTTTTGTTATTCTTTTTTCTGGACATATATGTGCAATAAATTATAAATTAGTCCATTTAGTTTCTCACAAAAATTAAATAATCTCTCTAGTTTTGATAACTAATTAATTATTTGATGTCTATTTGGAATTATATGTGATTGTAAGGAGGGAGCTAGAAATTTAAAGTTTGAGAATCAACAAATATATTAAGATGTCAAAATCATTTACACGCACGAAAATTACAAAAAAAATTATAAATTATAAACAAAAATATAGAATTTCACTTGCACCCTTTAGTTTCTTCTTTGGTTATTGGAGCTTTAATTGTCCTAATTACACTCAACAATAAGAAAAACAGCTCATGAATTTGATCACAAATCGAGTTTTTCTCTATTTCAAAATAAGCTAAATTTTATATATTTGATCATGATCAAGGTTCATATTGTCCTAATTATCTGTAGAATCAAACCTCATATGAAATTTCGAAATCAACAATTGCCGTGATGGTGTCAATTGTGGTCCAATTTCATGTTTTCCATGAGAGGTTTCAAAGTTTTTATTGAAGTGTCAAGGATAGATTCGTACATAAAAAGGCCACAAGGGGCTAATAGTCTAGATAACCAAGGCTACTAAGAAAGAAACCAAGGCGCGGACATTTAAGTCGAAATATAATTTATAAATAAAAACAAATTCAAAAAATCCCGAACTGGCCTATTAGCTCAGTTGGTTAGAGCGTCGTGCTAATAACGCGAAGGTCGCAGGTTCGAAACCTGCATGGGCCACTTTTTAGAACATTACTCTGCTCCTGGGCATACAAGTGTAGTAAAGTATAAATTAGTCCCTCTACTTTTTCAAAAAAATAAAATAGCTCCTGTATTTTTATAAATAGTTAATTATTTCCCTATTGTTTTATATCTATTTGTAACATGGTAATCGCTTTCATTTTTTTTTTTTCAATTCATGGTTGTTTAATAAATGGAAAAGGGAAAAAAGAAGAAGAAAAAATAAAAGAAAATTGATGAAAAAAGAAAAAGAAATCGAAACGTAATAATATTAAATTAATTATGGTCTATATTGATTAAGTGACTAATTAATTATGCTTTAAAAAAAAGACTATTGATTAAATAATATTAAATGTTAGGTTTTAAAGTATTTTTTTTATCTAATTATAACTTTATCTAATTAAAATCTATTTTTTTATGTTCTTCAAGAATTGTTTTTAAATTTTTCTTTTCATATATTGAAATATACAAATTAAAAAAAACAAATACTCATATCTTTATTTAATTAAATTTTAAAATATTGTATAAATATGACAATTAATTATTGGTTTTCTCATCATATGTTAGCACAAAAAAAAAAAAAAAAACATGTAATAAGCTACTATAGCATCCAATTCTATATATATAACCTAAATCAATTATTTAAAATCTTTAATATTTCCAATGTAAGAAGTGAAAATTTATAATTAAAACATACAAATAAAAATAAAAACTTAAAAATTCTTAATATATATCAAAATAGCTATTGTTATTTCCTTATTATTATTGTTGTTACTATCAACACTTACGAACTGATGCAATCATTATTTTTTTTTATAAACATTGTCACGACTATCCGATTATTGTTAATTCATTTCATTTTTATTATCGTTATCACTATTTTTTTTTATCAACATGATTATCACTAAAACAACATTGATTAAAATTAAATTTATTATCGCCATCAATAACATATTTCATATTTAATAATTTATTTTCATATTTTTACTGATGAAAGACTTAAATAAAATAGTATAAGAGTATATAAAAAAAAATCAATCTGATTTGTGTGTTATGATAAATTTCAACCACTTAAAGAATATTAAATTTGATAATAAATTGTCAAAAAACCATTTCAATAATAATAAAAAAAATTTTAACGGCTAAAATATGATTTATATTACTATTTATCATATTTTTCGAAATAAAATTTTTTTAGATTTAAAACTTCAACAAATCAATGCTATCTCGTGTTTATGAAAAACAATCCGCTACTTTCTCTTTCTTATGACCACATTGATGCATGTTTTGCATGTATATAGTATACAAATAAACAATTAAATACCCATGTTTTTATGTAGCTGGACGATAAAATATTATAAATATGTAGCAATTAATAGTTATTTTGACTAACTAAAATAATTACATCAACCATTTATATGACAAGTTAATCAAAAATTAATTGTCCACGTGGTATGCTATAAAAACTTTCCTTTCAAGTCTTTCGTTTCAATATATATATATAGAGAGAGATAATAATAATAATAATAATAGATAGATAGATAGAGAGAGAGATAATAATAATAATAATAATAGATAGATAGATAGATAGATAGATAGATCTGTGAGCTACAACTCACAAGGATGTCCTTTTGTGGGGTGGGTGACTTGTGTCTGATTTTACTTTTGTTAAGACATGATAATCCAAGCTTGCTTTTATTATTATTATTATTATTTCGTGCAAAAAGTGAAAGGTAAATTATAAATTAGTCCCTCTCTATTTAAGAAAGGAATTAATTAGTTTCTTTGATTTTAAAAACTAATTATTTAATATTTTTTGTTATTTTTTAATTTATTTTAATTTTTTATTTTAAGAAATATAAAAGAAATAAAAATAAGTAAAAATATGAAAAAGATTGATGAGAAAAAATATTTTATAAAATAAAAAAAATTAAATTAGTTGTGTTCAAACACTATACTAGTGAAAAGAATTAAACAATTAGTTTTTTTTTCAAAAAACTAATTAATTTGTTCCTGAAAACAAAATTAAAAGGACTAATTTATAATTTACTCGTAGTTTATTCCGAATTTTTGACAGTATATTGTATATGTAAAGGGACATACACCCTATTTATATTTATATTAGAATCGAAATTAAAAATATTTTTTTACGAATGAAGTATCATCAAGTAAAGTTGCTACCAACAAAAGAACACGTGACTGCCACTTAAACTTAACGTATTAACAAGAAGGACAAGGTGACTTGCAGGCTGCAGCTGGGACAAGTCTTCGTTGGATGCTTGTGGCTGGGAGCCTGAGACTTTAAAAATTGGGGTCCAGCCGTAAAAAATTAGCTGAGCTAAAGGCTATGCCAATGTTTGTGGCTGCCCAATGCATGAGTAAATTATAAATTAGTCCCTCTAGTTAAAAAAATAATAATTAGTTCCTCTCATTTCAAAAATTATCATTTAGTTTTTTAATCAGTGTTAATTATACTTAATTTAATATTATTTTTTCACAAAATCCCATATTTTCTCATCAATCTTTCATTTTTTTATTTTTTTTATTTTTCTATTTCTTAAAAAATAAATTAAAAAAAAACAAAAAAGACTAAATTATAAATTTCAAAATATAGGGACTAAATGGTTAGTTTTTAACGTAAGGGAAACTAATTAATTTATTTCTGGAAACCAGAGGAACAAATTTATAATTTACTCCCCAATACATTGATATTAATTTGCAGTATTTCTGGCTGTGAGTTCTTCAAAGCGAAAAAAAAAAAAAAAACCTATCAAATATTGATTGATGGCCAAGCTAACATCTTTGAGGTAAATTTTATTTTCCCATTTCATCCCTAAATTGGATTTTAATCCCAACATGTCTTCCTTACCAGCGTCACTTTAAATTAATTGATCTCATAAACCATAAATTTAAAAGTTTTCAGTTTTTTTTTTTTTATATATAAATAAATTAATTGATTCTATAAGTTTGCTGAGCCAACTACTGAGTTTAATATGAAAAAAGTTTCCTGCTATGCATATCCATAACAGTATGACATAATTTGTCTATAAAAAACCAGCTCTGCTGGTTTGGATATGTATTGGAAACTTTATCTTTATTCCTTAAACATGATAATAAATAATGGCTTTCTTGCTTAATGCTTATCTAGATTTGACTAGTAAAACCATCGAATAAGTTTGTGTTTTACTGCCACAAATTTTTACAGGACTTAGGTAAAAAATTATTATATTTGGGAGAAATCCATGTTATCAGCTACATTATGTATCAATCATAATTAAGAGAAAATTAATTAAAAAACGTAAAAAACGTAATTTAGTTATATTAGATTTTTATTTTCTTTATCCTTATTTATTTTTTCATTTTTATATTAAAATTATATATTTATTTTCTTTATAAAAATGATGATGAAATACTAGCTAAAATATCAATATCCTTATATGTTTCTTTCAATTCTTTCACCTCTATCTTTAAATTTTTTGAGAGAATTAATCTCTTACTATAAATCATTGAAATCTAAGCATTAATTTTAATTTTGATTTTTTCACATATCTTATTTTAATTTTAAATATCTTATCCCTGTTTCCTCGTCTCTCTTCCGTTGCTAAAATGATTAACTAATTGATTTAAAAATGAAATCAACATGAAATGTTTTATGAAGAAATCATGCATTTTTGCTTTCATTAAAGTTTGCTCGAGGTGGGAAAAAAGAAACATGATTTGTTTCATGAAGAAATGCAACAATAACACGAAATGTGCCATCTGTAGCCTGGAATGGTACTGGTTGAATCACACTAAAAGATGTATTTTTAATGTAAATAGGGCTGTATTTTCTCCATGATCTACCCGCATCTGCAGTTACCTCCATCCAGGCACCCCAAGAATTCCAACTTTCTACAGTTGATCCACAAAGCAAGAGCTCATTTCCCAATAAGATTGGCTTATCCTTTGATAGTCCTAATATGCTAGGAGGAAGTTTTCTCTCTCCTTCCAAGTAACACCTTCGTCATAAGACCGCTTCATGCATCAATTCCATTTTTGAACCTCTTGACTGACCTTATATAGCAATAGTAACTCCTCTGATGATAGTTTGAATAGTTCAGGGTTCCACATAGGAGCATTAGGTTGTTCATCAACAATGATAGGTGATTGCCAATAACCATCTTTGTATGTTTGTATCCAAATTTTCATAATACGTGCTCCCTCTTCTGTACCTCCACAATAAGCAACTAAAAAGTGATCTTTATCAACCTCAACCATCGTAGAATGATAGCTATTGAAGGAAACAGAGTTTGTAGGAAATGTGAACTCCTCTTTCACTAGTTGTTAATTATAACAATCCTCTTTCACTGGCTACCAATCATAACAATCATCTTTCACTGACTATCAGTTATAACAAGCTTTGCTCATATTTGATATCTTGGGCACCAGAACCGTTTTAGTTGCGCGTATTCTTACGACCCCTCCTTTTGAAAAATCCTTGTCCTCAAGGATTAAATGCGAAATTTAGGAATTGCTTCTCCAATTACTCATTGACTTCCCAATATCAATATCAATGTGTAGTGGAGTTGCTCTATCGGTAGTAAAGTTCACATCAGCACCAACCTGGACCAACAACTCTAGGCATGTCAATGAACTAGCTGTTATAGATGATAATAATAGAGATACGCCATCTTTTATTTCAGAATTAGGATTTGCATGGCACTCCAGCAACACTTTCAAAGCATTTTGTTGACCATGTCCAGCAGCCTGTATAAAAGAAGCACCAGCATAACTTTGTGAATCGACCTCAAGGCCTTTAGAAAGTAAATACTCCATTAATTCAAAATTTTCTATCCCTGTAGGGTGGTGCAAAGTTATGGTACCTAAATCACTTGGTATAGTAGGGTTGGTACTTTGATCAAGAAGGTATTTAGCAATGACAGTATGTCCTTATCAAGCAGCATGAACAAGAAGAGTCTCACCATCTTCATCCATTGTATAACTGTAGTGCTCCTATAAATGAGTACATAGCCATGCCTCACCCATTGGCCATATTCCCCACACAACCTCTTCCTTATCTGCTAATGGCTTTGCCCATATGTCAGACTTATGATGCACCACCCAACCACTTATTTTATAGTTTACTCGTGCAACTTTATTTTCATTCACTGATAGGGATTTGATAAAGTCAAACAAAGGCTCAAGATCCTCGTTCCATACCCCCTGAAGTTTAGCCACTTGAGTTTCAGAACGTGAACTAGAAATAAGCAAATATCGACCAAACTGGAATAGAAGTTTCACCAACGAAGGATTTTCATTAGTTTGAAAAGATCTTATATTCTCTACTATTGGAACTCCATCATCTTTGTTCCTTTTGACATGTGTGTTTATAGAAGTCATAAGATTCTTGATCTCTAAAGATCCATCTCTTATACTTCTAAGATGAACAAGGTTCTAATAGTCATCCAAGTGACTTGAATAAAGTTCTGAATATTATTGATTTTTTATGGATTTTGGTGTACAAAGAGATAAGAAGTAGGATCTTTCTCTGAATTTAAGGGCTTTATGAATGGCCTATCAAATGAAGATGAAGCCACCAGATGTGACATAACCCAATTTGCACATTTAACCTTCAACTTCCTATTGTCCACGACATGCTTTAGTCCTGCACCATCACTAATCTATAAACCAAGAATAGCAGCAAACCGAATTCCTTTTGGATCATCATTTTCCTTCACTTTTGGTGAAATCCTTTTTCTAAGGTAACTCCGTTCCGTTACAATTTGACTTTCATATGTTATGTAACAATGATAATCTAACTTGCTAGCTAAAGATATAGTAAAGGATACAGACCTTGCTTTCCTTACAATAATCTTTATCACCGTCACTTGACTATTTTTCTAACTTTCCTATCCATCACTGTTAGAGACTCCATTCTTCTTTCTCATCTACTAACATTTCTCCCATATCACTACCTTATCTAGTGTAATATTGATCTTCTCATAGTTTACATTTTTATCAATTCTCTTCAGCCTTTTCTTTAATGGAACTCCATTCTATTCCATATCATAACCATTCTTTTTTTCTTAATTGCTCTCCACCTCTTTATTCCTCAATTCACTTTCTTTCTTCCTGCCCATCTTTTTAGCAACAATTTTACTTTTCTTTTTCTCCTCACTTTTTTCCTCGTTATCAATAAATTTTATATTTTCTTCTCCTTCAACTCCTACTATACTATTTTCGCCTAATTCATCTTCATTCTCATTAAACATTTACAAATGTACCCTACCAATAGTAGTATTGTAACAAGACTTTATGAATTCAGATAAAAGAATTGACTCACTATAATACTTTAGGTGTACTAATTTGTTTAAATGGTTCACTCCTTGAGAGGAACTTGAAGAGGATTTTTGTTCTTTTTCTATACTTTTATCGACCAAGATTGACTTGATCATCGCCATTAAAGCTTCAAATTGAAGCTATGTTTGCTGCATTTGATCTTGCATTTGCTTCTTTAATGCTTCCACATTATCTTGAATTATTTGACAAAGCTTTTGAATTTGCTCTTCTTGCCTCTTGTTAGTTTCTTCTAATAATTTCAATTTGTGATTGTCTACTATGATTTAGTATTGAATTGTTCACAGTAGTCAAACTCTGATACCAATTATTAAGGTCTAGCAATGAATTTCTTAGTAAGAACCCTATAAATTAAGGAAGAAAAAGAGTAGAAAGATATATATATATATATATATATATATATATATAGAGAGAGAGAGAGAGAGAGAGAGAGAGAGAGAGAGAGAGAGAGAGAGAGAGAGAGAGAGAGAGAGAGAGGTGTACGTCTGTTATATTTAATAGAAAAATCAGTTGTTCCAAAACATACATGTTTTGGTAAATTCTACAGCTATTTATATAGTACAAGCTAAACTAACAAACTAACTATTGTTAACCGACAAATAAAAATGGATTGTTACACGTGGATTGCTAACAAATTGCTTAACAGATATCAATGCCAATTAACAAGTGCTGACCATTACTATTGCATGTACAAGTCTATTACAACAGACTATCAATGAAAACCAATAAGATGAAATATTATTCATAACAAATTCTCGTCAATTAAGTTTTAACCTCTTTCATCTAATTCTACTCAACTTGTCATGAATTCTCTTATGGTGGTCTGGATATAGTATTCTCTATGAACAGATTAAAGAGATACTTAAATTTAATCTTAATGTACGAAAAACAATTACAATTGATGGCTAGATCGAAGTCGCAAATAAATCGGATGCGCACCTATATACATATGGTCACACTGGTGCATATCCCATTTCCAACTTTTGGCTGCAATTTATGTTCAATTGAATGTAGAAGAATAAATTCGTACAAATTCTGTGATCATTATAAGAAATAGTCAGACAAATCATCACATGATCATTCCTTATAAGCCTGAAATAGACGACCACGTATGCCAGATTATATGTTCATGGCAACAACTACATACAACAAAATGCCGTCATCGGTACACTAAATATCAAGATTTATTCTACCAATTTCTCGTAATAAAAAGTTTATTCTACTCATATGATTATCACTAACTTTCAATTTGATAAAAATAAGTAGAAGTGCCATACTTACTATTAAAGATTGTAGATAGATCGGTAAGAAAAACATCTCTAATTCATGATCAGATTAGAGATTTAATTATCATCTTTAGAAAAATTCCTTTTTCTTTTTCTTTTTTTATCACTAGACATGAGTTGCTGATAGATTTAAAGAATTTAATTTTTAAAATCAGTTAAAAATTAATTGTTATATGATTTTGTCTCATTAACCTTTTGAATGGACCAAAAGCTAAATATGATTTAGCTTTATCTCATTAAATATGTACCGTTGGTGAGTTCAAAAAATTTAATCCTTAAAATTAATAAAAAACTAAACATGATCCGAGATGAATTAGTGTAGAAAGTAGTGAATTAAATATCATGTCAAAGATCCAGAATACCCCACCACCGGTGAATATGATAACAATAAAAAAAAGCCACACCTAAATAGTACTATCATGATTAATTTTCACTCACTATACCAAGTTGACCTTAGCCAATTGTTATTATTATTATTTTGCTGGCAATTTGCCTGATCATTTATAGCGAAGCCGTCTCAATAAGTTCATGAGCCTGGGCCGGTAAAAGTTTTGTTGGGAAAGACCTTTAAACTCCTTACCAGCTTTCTTGGAGAAATTTGATGAGTAATTTTTTTTTTCGGGTGCAAATAATTGTGATGAAGAGAACATCAATAGTCTCAATTGACACCAAGAAACGTTAAGCTTAACCTCAACCATGGAGGCTTGTATCATTTTCTTCCAAAACCTTAACCTTAACCTCAACCTCACCCTCTTCCTTCCCTTCCACCTCCCCCAAGTCCGTAGCCACAGCTAGTAAAACCTTAACACCTGTTCTTCGCTTCCTGCATGACCTTTTCTCACTGACAGCAACTGCTGACTCTATAATCCCCAACTCCGACGGAGAAATATTACAGTTTAGCTTGCTTAAAAGATCTTAATTACAAGTATAATGTCTTCCAGGAAAAAGCTCATCATCAGCTCGCATGGCTATTAAACGTTTGTTTAGCCTGACCTTATCAATTGGAGAGATATAACATGGCCAGCACGAGCTCTACAGCTTTTGCAGGGAGACTTACTTGCCTCAGGTTTCCATTAGAATCCAATTTTTTTTTTTTTTTTTTTTTTTGCAGCTTTAGGCTTTTATTGAGGTAATAACACAACAAGAAGTGTAGTTTCCTTATTTATTTATGTATCTTGCCGTCTGGTTTTTAATTCATTGAATAGGAGGGGGCCTTGAGCTTACAGATAGAGTTTGAGTAAAATAGAGAGTGGAGATTAGAAGGAAAGCGTACTCAAGAATTTACCAGGATGTGTATCCTTTTGCCTGGAGTCCGATCACTTTAGATTTGTTAAAACCTCTTACTATTAAATTTATTGTTCTTAAATAATAGATTTAATTTTGATTAATGTAAAAATTATTTCGATAATATCTTTAATTTTAATTAATGTAAAAAATATTTCAATAATATCTTATCATCTATAAATATTAAAATAATAATAATTTTATTCAAGGACTACTAGCACTTGTAGCACTTGTGACTTCAAAATTGGGGTCAAATTGTGTAATTTAATAGCTAAGCTAATGTTTGTGATGGTCTCATACATAATGTATATTTTGTAGTATTCTTGGTTTGGAGTTATTAAACATTAAAAAAAAAATCAAGTACGATATGTAGCCTTGATGACAAAATTAATTAACATCTTTTAGTTTTTTTGGTTTCGAATTTCCTTAATCCATATCTAAATCGGATTGAATCCCAAATTTCTAGAAATTCACGGACTGATTTTATGAAATTAAACCCGTAAAATTCACGTGACTTTTACAGGACGCCGTTTGGTCACGAAACATTAACTTTTCCGTCGGTAAAGATCTAGTAATTCGTTTGTAACGAAGCTAGAAAACACTCGTGTTGGTCTGTCATCTACCCCTTTTATGTTGAAATTTCGTCCATACATATCTGTATTTCAAGGTTTTTACGGAAATAAATTGCCCTCTTCTATTGTTTTTTTCATTTCATTTACTTTTTTTTGGTTTTTTTTTATTTTTCATAAAATATAAAAGGCATTAAAAAAATTAAAATCTTTAACACCAATCGGAAAGGTGAAAACACTCTTCCAAATTAACAATTCTCTCCATCTCGAAATCTAACTCCGCTCCCCATCCTTCATCACCTTTTATATTTTTTGAAAAGAAATTAAAAAAATAAAATAAAATTTCCCTTCAAAAGTTGAATAGGGAGATTTTAGCTATGACTTATGGGTGTAAAGCAAGTATTTGTTATTTAAATCTCACCCTTGGCGTAGGCGACTCAAGGCCTATTTATATTGTTCATAACTTACGCCTCAATGGATGATGTTGTTGTTCACTGGCTATATAAGAAGCTAAAATGAACAATTTTATAGGAAAGGATTAATTGGGAGGAAAATAGACAAGATGGAAATTATTAGTACATTCAAACTGGGGATATATAGTAAAAAACCTCATCAAAATTAGACAAAAGTTTCATTGAATGCAGATGAGTTGAGCAACTTCTACGAAGGTAATGCAACCTTGCGTGTAAAATACCACCTAATTAGATGAAGCAACTAATTTAACTTCTTTTATCTTTCTTGATCATCAGTACGATAACAAAGCTAAACTTAGCAAGGTTTTTTATTTTTTTTCTTTTCGTCAGTTTGCCTAATTTGCAACAGCGTCTCTCAAATTCATCAGCTTAGGCCAGTAAATATTTGCCCGCCAAGTCTAGTGCTCTTTCTGATTAAATTTTGTTAGGAA